GGGCTGTGATCTAAAAAAGGAAGGTAATCAAGGGAATTATTCTAAAATCATAACATAAAATGGTCAATGGTATACTCTTTGTGTGCTTTTACTCAGTGTAATTAAATAATGCCCAAATTGATTCAGTTCTTGAGAAAAATATCTGCCATACATTATCATTAATTGAAAATGCAGTCAGTTTTGTGTAATGGCTTCAAAGCTTTACCTGCATTTACATAAAATTTGCAACAATCAAAGAATTTATAAAGATAAATACTAATATTTGAAGGACATGTTACCTCCAGTCCATACAACTGTGAGGCATGACAAAGCATCAAGAATGAAATGTCAAAGAGCATGACTCGAGTCTGTGCCATTTTCCCAGTCTCCCCTTGCATCTGCTTGGCAAACTCATTTATCCTGTAACACATAAGATTTATAACCCTCCAGTATATTGAATTTTTACAATGTTTCATCTAAAGGGCACATTACACATTGTAGATCTTAAGATAAAATTTTTTATTTCTTAAATCCATTTGTAATTTATTATTGTACTTGTTGCTATTGTTTTACAAAAACATATTTTACGTTACTCACTTGTTGGTATTGTACTATATAAAGCCATACTAAATGTTCCTCACTTGTTGCTATTGTACTATATATAGCCATACTGAATGGTACTCACCTGTTGTTATTGTACTATATATAGCCATACTGTATGGTACTCACTTGTTGTTATTGTACTATATATAGCCATACCGTATGGTACTCACTTGTTGTTATTGTACTGTATATAGCCATACTGTATGGTACTCACTTGCTGTTATTGTACTATATATAGCCATACCGTATGGTACTCACTTGTTGTTATTGTACTATATATAGCCATACCGTATGGTATTCACTTGTTGGTATTGTACTATATATAGCCATACCGTATGGTACTCACTTGTTGTTATTGTACTGTATATAGCCATACTGTATGGTACTCACTTGTTGTTATTGTACTATATATAGCCATACCGTATGGTACTCACTTGTTGTTATTGTACTATATATAGCCATACCATATGGTACTCACTTGTTGTTATTGTACTATATATAGCCATACCGTATGGTACTCACTTGTTGTTATTGTACTGTATATAGCCATACTGTATGGTACTCACTTGTTGTTATTGTACTGTATACCGTATGGTACTCACTTGTTGTTATTGTACTGTATATAGCCATACCGTATGGTACTCACTTGTTGTTGTTGTACTGTATATAGCCATACCGTATGGTACTCACTTGTTGTTATTGTACTGTATATAGCCATACCGTATGGTACTCACTTGTTGTTGTTGTACTGTATATAGCCATACCGTATGGTACTCTCTTGCTGTTATTGTACTGTATACCGTATGGTACTCACTTGTTGTTATTGTACTGTATATAGCCATACCGTATGGTACTCACTTGTTGTTATTGTACTATATATAGCCATACCGTATGGTACTCACTTGTTGTTATTGTACTGTATATAGCCATACCGTATGGTACTCACTTGTTGTTATTGTACTATATATAGCCATACCGTATGGTACTCACTTGTTGTTATTGTACTGTATATAGCCATACCGTATGGTACTCACTTGTTGTTGTTGTACTGTATATAGCCATACCGTATGGTACTCTCTTGCTGTTATTGTACTGTATACCGTATGGTACTCACTTGTTGTTATTGTACTATATATAGCCATACCGTATGGTACTCACTTGTTGTTATTGTACTGTATATAGCCATACTGTATGGTACTCACTTGTTGTTATTGTACTGTATATAGCCATACCGTATGGTACTCACTTGTTGTTATTGTACTATATATAGCCATATCATATGGTACTCACTTGTTGTTATTGTACTATATATAGCCATACTGTATGGTACTCACTTGTTGTTATTGTACTATATTTAGCCATACTGTATGGTACTCACTTGTTGTTATTGTACTATATATAGCCATACTGTATGGTACTCACTTGTTGTTATTGTACTGTATATAGCCATACCGTATGGTACTCACTTGTTGTTATTGTACTGTATATAGCCATACCGTATGGTACTCACTTGTTGTTATTGTACTGTATATAGCCATACCGTATGGTACTCACTTGTTGTTATGTACTGTATATAACCATACTGTATGGTACTCACTTGTTGTTATTGTACTGTATATAGCCATACCATATGATACTCACTTGTTGTTATTGTACTATATATAGCCATACCGTATGGTACTCACTTGTTGTTATTGTACTATATATAGCCATACCATATGGTACTCACTTGTTGTTATTGTACAATATATAGCCATACCGTATGGTACTCACTTGTTGTTATTGTACTATATATAGCCATACTGTATGGTACTCACTTGTTGTTAATGTACTTTATATAGCCATACTGTATTGTACTCACTTGTTGCTATTATTCTATATAGACATACTGTACTGTATATTACTCACTTGACCAGTTTGTTTGCCAGGCTTTGCAGTTTCCCTGTGGAGGCAGCCCCCGCTAAAATAAAATCCAAGTTCCTCCCTGACATTAACAGGCACAGAAAACTCATCATGTCCCCTGGGGTCTTTGAAGAGTCAGAATTATCCAGGGTCTGATACAAAAACAAAATTAAATCACTTTTTGTCCTGAGTTCTCAGTTGACAGTGTGTTGAAGAGGAGTTTTCGGCATGCAAAGCAGATAAGGTGAGATTGTTAGTGTCAAACTAGAGATCGTTAGAGATTACCACACAGTAGAGATGTTAGTTAAGATCAACATCTACATACATGAATACTTGACAAAACAACTCTAGAAGCAGGATAAATTCCAGTAACAAAATGAGCAGCTGTTAGTTTAAAGGAAGTTCATGTTTCCAAACATGATTTTGGTTTGTACACCTACTACATTTGTACATACAGTAATTTACCACAACTGGCAAAGATAATCAAATGAATGATTTAAATCAATATTCGGAAGGTTAGAGAAAAAAACTGAAGGTATTCTAAAATTTAAATTAATACATGTACCTACAAGTAAAAGTAACCCAGCCTTCACTGTATCATACTAAATAAATGCTATGGTAGACCTCTACATGTAGTATAAAAAAAAAGAAGTGCTCTTATTTTGAACCTGTGAATGACAGACAACCTACGAACAGCTCACCAATAAAACATGCCTTAATTTTTATATTGAGCATGCCCCATTATATAATATGAGTGAATAAAATTACATCAAAGAATTCACAATGTTTAAAATGTGGTTTCCATGTTATTAATTTTTCTTCATTTTTTTTCCATTTACAAAATTAGTCAACAACTTTTTAAATTAAAAAAACAATAAGAATGACAGAGAACAAATGTTGATCAGAAGAACTCTCTTGCCTAAGGCTTGGAGAGCTGAAAAGCTAAAATATATGAACGTACAGCAGTTTCCTTTCCTGAATCAAGGTGTGAGAAATTACTCAGGCCCTGCAAAAAAACCAAAACAATCACAGCAAGCCAACCACTGACCATCCATTCCATGTCTACACTGCAGAGCAAACGTTAAAACTACATATAATTTTATCCCCCTCCCCTCCATCCAAAGTAAATACCTAGAAATTGAATACTGTAGATTCCTAAATATACACGAGGAATAAATTATCGCATAATTACGCAAGAAGCATCACTCATGAAATAGAAAAAAACGCTTTTATTTTTATGGTGCTTTAATGTATGTAAAATTTCTAGATAAATCGCCCATTCGCGAATTATTTTTCTCGCGATTTGACGCCCTTGGGCCATTTTGTGATATTAAGTACTCACGTAAAATAAAGAATCTACAGTAGATACTGAAGCCGAAATCTATGGAAAATTATAATATTGGTTGGATTGTCTGTTTTAGTAGCAACAACTATTGACTTTAAACTGCAAGTAATGGAGACTGATATGAATGGTCACGCTGAATCATATACAAGTATAATCAAAGCTGCCTACATGTCAACAAAGTTAGGAGAAACAAATTGTGCAGAAGCCACAGTCAATAGCTATAAGCATTCAGTTGATCAAGAATACAGTGGCAAACTAGGTCTCACTTGTGCTTGTAAAATAGAACATGTATAGATATTGGTATAAATCTCAGTCTATCACACATGAATAAACTTTCATATTTCTCCTATATAAAACTGTCCTTCATTTTGTGGTTATTATTAAGCTAACAGATAAACGTAAATACTGTAATTATAAAATGAAATTTAAACTTTGTACTTTACATCTAGATGTAAAACTGGTCACTGTTGGGATTCTTTGAATGTACCAGCCCCACAAACATCACACTTAGCACCATATTATAATGAAAACATTAAAGACAAGTTTGAAAAGAGTACAAAGTCAAGCTCAAGTTACATCACACTTCATTATGGCTGACAGCAGTAGACCTCTAAAAGTCTAACAAGTAGCACGATTTCTACAAAAACCTTTATGATTCTCGGAAGCTGTTGTTCATTCCGCAGGATTAGGATCGGAGATGACTGTCCACTGGTCTCAATCTTGTTTCCAGAGTTAGTATTCCTAAAAATTTATTTCATGACAAAAAATAAATTTTACAAAATCAGTACATGAACAGAGGTTATAAAATTTACACAGTACAAAAACTGTACATATAAATGTAGTTACAAATGCTCTTGAATACTTTATACTTGTAAAATGATAGTGTAAATTTACACTATAGAAGTTTTAGCTGTAATGTCAGTTACATGCAAAGTTTAAGATAAAAACCATGTCCTCAGTTTACTTTCAAATACATGTAATACTTTTTAGCTTGCTTTCAAAGATCTTACCTTCTGTTCAGAAGCAACTGTGTCTGATTTTTATCCAGTAAATCATTTTTGCTGAATTCCCCAACTAAATATTTCAGACATTCACACCTACAATTTAGTAAATGCTAAAGATTAGTGCAAGAAAGACTATATGGACTTGAAATGATGAACATGTACCTGTGCTTCAGTCATGACTTTTGTTTTAACCTTCTGATATCAATCAAGGATATAATCATTAACTTTGATTCTTACAGGGTCAAGGTCACTTACTTAAGTTTGATGTCCACAAGGTCAAGGAGAGGTACAGAGTTCATGAGTTCACTCAATCCCTGGAACAGATCCTCCCCAATGTCCTGACTAGGGGACTGCTGCTTCATAAACCGCAGAATCTGGGGCAGCTACGTAATCATATATTGTCAAATACATGTACATGTGGTTACTGATACATGTGCATGTGTCATACAAATCAATTAATATAAATTACACATCAAATAAATCCACTGTTCTATATTTGAACTTTAAAGACTTATTGTATGCACAAACAGCTAAAAATTTTACCAGACATTTTTCAGTGAATGTACCTAGAAATCTTTGTACTTATAACATGCCTCAGTGAATGACTTTCCACATAAGTATTCCATTATAAGCTTTAAAATATGCCTATTTACCTTAAGATATGTAAAAGCTGCCCACTTAATTTCTTCAGGAGTGTCTACACAATTATTTAATCCCATAAAACATGCCCTGATGATTTCACAATACAAGAATGGCCTTGGTAGATGCTACATGTATAATAGGAAAATAAAGGAAATGAAACCAAACAAAAGATTATCTTTGAAGATTATCACAAAAATATTATAATTCATAACTTATAATACATAATACAATTAAGAAACATTGGAAATATACAAAAACATTTGAACATGCATTATTTCTACTGTAACTTTGACCTGAAGAGTCAGACCATGTGGATAAAATCTTTTTGATTAAATAAACCACTGTAGTTTACATGATCTGACTCTTCTGGTTATTGTAGTAATGATGGGTTTATTAGATAAGTTCTATTCTTTTGGAAAAAAATTAATAGGTTAAATTAAAGCTTTTGAATACATAAAAAACATGGAAATTATGTATGTGTATTTAAATGAATTTATTTTTTTTTCCTTCACTGTGCAACACTATCAGTTTGTATGTCATATTGTGAGGCAGTCATTTAAGAAATGAATTTAATTTTTAAAAATTCATGAGGACATAAACTAAGTTTTATGGTTGGATATAAAATCTATTTCACAAGTGGGATAGGATTTTTTTATTTTATATTTTCATGAGCAAGAAGAATGCAAATCAAATTACAAAACATTGAATCTTCTGTTTATTACATTTTCTTTCGTTTTCTTTTTGGCTCTGTCTTTTCATAATGCAGTGTCAAAGGTTGTGAGTGGCATATGTAGGCAATTGTGAAATCAAAAATTATAAACATGGATATTAAAAACAATTTGGAGAAACTTTCGCTGTGTCAGGTTGGTTCATTTACTCTCGCTATCTTATATAAGAAAGTTTTTTTCTTTACAAGGGAATAAAAATCTCGAGTTTTGCTGCACTTTTGATATTTTCAAAGTAAAAAATATCATTTTTAATATATTTCACTGTGAAAAATATCACTTTTATTCAATGGATAAATTACAGTATTTCACTGTTGAAAATGTAATAAAATACTACTACTACTGATCATTATGAATTGATTTCAAAGATCTATAAGGACATCAAAGGATGAAAAAAAAAAAACTGGACATATAAAAAATCAAACTGTGTTATTAAAATGTCATCAGTGTCAGTGAATGTTGACATGGCTCTAGAAAACCACAGATTTTTTATCCAGACAGTCGGATCAAACTCTGTGAAATCAGCAATATTAAGAATGGTATAACAAATATTAATAAATTCTTTACCATTGTACTCAGAGGTTTATGAATTCAATTAACAAAGAATATAACTGTATAAATGATTTTATTACCAGAACTCTCTCGGACACACATAGTTGATCAATGAAGGGTTGAACATCACTGGTGGGATTCAATATGGCCTCCAGGGTTACTAGAGTGTTAATGGTGGGGCAGATACCAAGATGTGAAACTTCACACAGAGCCTGACTAGGAAGGGTCATGTCCTGTACCCTACAACATAAAGGATAGGGATGGGTATCAATAAATATTTTGTATTATGATATATCATGATTTTTTCCAAAACTATTACGATAATATCATGAAATTTTTACATGTTTTTAGTTGAATTTCCAAAATTTTTCTAACAGATATATTGTGAAATTATAATTTTACCTCTTTAATCTTTAATTTATATACATCTATAAATAAAGCATATTTGAATGCTAGGATGTCATTGTTTTACTGTTTTACAACATTTTTACAATTCTGTTAATTGGACATCAAAAGTTTGAACAAAAAAATTATTTATTTCTGGAATTCATAATTACATATTAAATTAAGATAATATTTAACTTTTAATCTTTTTAAATTTATTTCTACACTGATCATTTCTACAGTAGTGAACTTCAACAAATGGTCATACTTTGAGAGTGTCTGCAGAGCTATCCCTACTTTCTGTTTTGTCTGTGACGGCAACATATCTGATAAGGATTGACTCAATGTACCCCGCACATTAATAACTGTCTGCTCATACTCTCTATAGTTATCTGTAAAGAAAAAAAATCAGTCAATATCACAGCTAATCTTGACAATGCCGTGCACAAATACCACAATACATTTAATTTATGTCCCAGGATAATTAGTTGAGAGGTGCACCTTATGATTTTTATAAACATGGACAATATACATGACACTGTTGAAAATTTTCCTCATTCTTTTTTTCTTATCTTGTAAGAATCCATTATGCTTGAACTAATTTCAACCAATTGAATAAAATTTTGAATTAAGAAATAAGTACAGTCAAACCTCATTATCTCAAATTGATGTATCCAGAAAAATGTCAAAATATCCAAGGCTTCAAGAAATTGAAGTTAAAATACATAAATATGTGTGATTTCCAACTCACTTTGAGGTATCCATGATGTTGGATATATATATTTATTTCAAGATATCAATGTTAATCTGTATACAGTTAAACTTTGGTATCTTGAAAATCAATTTGTCATAGGGAGTAGGAAATTCAAACCAATTTTTCTTTATGTTTATTTATTTTAAACTTAATATCTCAAATTCTCTGATATCCTGATGTTTTTCCTAGCCCCATCAAATATGAGATAACAAGGGTTGACTGTATACATACAAACCACAAAAACTTCTACCTTGATCCTCAGACATGGCCACATACAGTAAAGCCTGGACAGTGGGGTTCTCTGCAATCTTGTGGGCCGCCACACTTGCACTGTCAATAATGCTGATGTACTCCTGTTGTTGCTGCATGTCTTTCATCGTTTTCAGGGACTGAAGTACACACATCATCAGCCAGTGGAGGGTCTTCTGTAGACATTTACACAGAACCACACTAGATTCTAATCCACTGGTGAAGCTGAAATCAATGAATACCAGGGGCTAAGAATAATATTGAAAAGTCTAACCAATTTCTAGTATACACAAACAAGAGGTCCATGGGCCACAACGCTCACCTGAGTATATTTGGCTATGCTGTTTTTCACCAGATTTTCCCCCTAATAATACCTATTGTGGCCCCGCCCTTCCCCCTGGGGTCATGATTTGAACAATTTAGAATATCCACCACCCCAGGATGCCTCCACATAAGTTTCAGCTTTTCTGGCCTCGTGGTTCTTAATAAGATTTTTTAAAAGATTTTTCCTATATATATTTCAATGTAAAACTTGGATTCCCTATTGTGGCCCTGCCCTAACCCCTGGGGTCATGATTTGAACAATTTAGAATCTAAACTACCCAAGAATGTTCCCACATAACCAGGGGTCAAAATTAAAGGGAAATACTCGCTAAATGTGAGTTAAAAACAGAAATTGTGGGTTAAAAGTGATTTGTGGTCACCAACTTTTGCGAGTATTAAAAACGTCTTTTTCAGTTTTTTTTGTTTATCCCAGGGATGTGCAATTGGCATCGCTCCATGCCCGGGGCTACCATTTTTGGGGGGTCGGAGCAGCCCCTCGGGCTAGTAAAAATTAAAATTACCCAATGGCATGTAAAACACATGAAAAGCACTAAAGGTATTTTCATTCATTCTTTCTTTGCTATTAAATTTCCAAACAATGAAAAAATTCCAGGCAGTATGCTTCTATAAATAGTTAGTAAATCTCCATAATCTTGTCCATTTTGCAGTACTACCTGACTTACCTACTTCCAAGAAAACGATCGTTTTTTCCTAATCCAAATTTCCTCCATTCCCTGTTTATGGTAAATACATGCACATATCCCTTTAACTTATTTATGATCACTCAATCAATTAGAGGAAAAGTGTTATTTGTTTTACAAAAAATATATTTCCAGTGTATTTAATGATTCAAGATGAAAAAAAAAGATTTTTGCTTCAATTTAAATGAGTTAGTGCAATGACCAGAAAAAAGGAAGGTAATTTATGTAAATTCATTTTTATTATTTTCAATCGTAATTATTAATTTATACACAATTCAATTTTTCTACTGAGAATTAAACTTTAATTATAAGAAGAATGACCCTGACTTTATCAACGATAAACTATTTTTCTTTCGGTGTAGTTGTTACTTTTTTTTCCTACATAAGAACCAGTGACTTTTTACTTGAGACTAGTGATTTTATCGCTGCCAATAGTCTGTGGACTAGTGCTTGAATTTTTTAATTGCACACCCCTGTATCCATTCAGATTTGAAGCTTACCCTAATTTTGTTTTGTGCAAAACGTCTTGTATAAAACGACCTAAATGCTCTCAAGGTGTATATTAGTTTTCTATGAAATTATTCAAATAATTTCTATGTTAAGACATTACGTTGAGAAGAAAAATGCTAGTGAAAATTCAATATTGCTAGTAAAAAAAATTCCACTAGCTTAAATTTGCTAGTGGTCAAAAAAGTTAATTTCGATCCCTGATAACTTTCAGCTTTTCTCGCCAGTGGTTCTTGAGAAGAAGATTTTAAAAGATTTTTCCTATATATTTCAGTGTAAAATTTGAATTCCCTATTGTTGCCCCGTCCTACCCCTGGGGGTCATGATTTGAATAATTTAGAATCTACGCTACCATAGGATGCTTTCACATAAGTCTCAGCTATTTTGGCCCAGTTTTCTCATATATTTCAATGCAAAACTTTGATTCCCTATTGTGGCCCCGCCCTAATCCTCGGGTCATGGATTGAACAATTTAGAATCTGCACTACCCTAGGATGCTTCCGCACAAGTTTCACCTTTTCTGGCCCAGTGGTTCTTGAGAAGAAGATTTTTGAATGACCCCACCCTATTTTTGTCTTTTCTTGATTATCTCCCCTTACAAGGGGGCTTGGCCCTACATTTTAACAATTTAAATTATTCTTTACTCATGAATGCTTTGTTTGGTTAAAATTGGTCCAGTGGTTCTTGAGAAGTTGAAAATGTGAAAAGTTTACAGACGGACGGACAGCTAGACGGATGGACAACAGACAATGGGTGATCAGAAAAGCTCACTTGAGTTTTCAGCTCTGGTGAGCTAAATAAAAAAATAATAAACCAATATATACCAAATTGTGTAAGCTACATATTTTTGAATAACTTAACTGCATACTAGTATAAAATGCAAACATCAACCTTACAACATTAAGATATGAACTGATTTACTCTCTATTTGGTTAAAATAACAGTGTATTATCCTGATGTTACGATAACAGTACATGTATATTATACCTGATGTTACAAGCTATGACTTCTGTAACCTCAATCAGCCCAATGGTGCAGTATGGTTTACTGATATCATCATACTTTTGTACCAAACTCAGAACAGAACAAGGTGGTATCATCTGACATGCATAATAAAGCTTTAAATTGTAGAATACAATTACACTAGAGATTTTAAAAAAATCAAGGTTATAATATTAATTAAACCTCTGTGTTGATTTACCTGTGACAATACAGTGTGTTTTAGATAACCTATGATGAGAACATTGGGATTGGGTCCAACTAATGCCTGCTGTAAAAGGATTTCTGAAACAGAAATACAATAAACTGGTATATGTAGTTCAAACTTACGTACTGGTTCATTCACATAGTTATTTTCCACTCAATGTACTGTAAATGTATTTTACTTTAAATGTACTATATTTGTTGGAAATTGATTTTTCAATAACTAAGTGTAGATTTCATTAAGCACTTTCTGAATGTGCTTTAAATAAATACAGGTAACTCTCGATACCTTGAAGTCCACGGGACTGAGAAAAAACTTCGAGAGATCAAGAGTTCGAGTTTTCAAGAGTACGGAATTTTCTGGGTTTGTTGACATGTTTGAAAATTAGTCTTACTGGATGTAATGATTTTCATGCAGTGCTAACCTTTTACACGTGGTTTTTATAAAACAACGATATTTTTTCGTAATTAAGATGAATATTTCATTACACTGAGTAAAGCAAAAAATGTGTATCGTCATTTCATGTATAATTATTTATTCTTTGTAATACGGACATCATACTACGCATTCGTTACATGAAAACGACATTTTACAGCGGCGTACATAGCATTGACTATTCCAAACATTATCATTGAACGCCGTTCTGTAAGTATTTGTCCAATAACAGTCGTCATATTGACATTGAGGCTGTTTCTGCTTTTTCATATTTCGTTTAACTTTGACACAGACTCGAAATAAAAATTAAATTAGTGTTTCATCTTTTAATCAATTCAGTACTACTTTTCACTGACACAGTGTGTCTAAATTATCGTAAGTCAGTCGATGATAATTATTTTAATTAATAGCATATAGGCAAAATATGATTAATTATAAATCAATCAACACCTTGCAGCATAAATGTCACCTGGCTAAACATCCCGTTCCTCGAGACCCGCGTCTTCTGCCTGGGGCCATTTAAATGTCCAGGTATAGGTGATAATTACATAACCATGTATACATATAGCCACTTCGAGGTATCGAGGGTAAATTCTAATAGAATATGCATAACGGGACTACATTTTGACTTCGAGGGATCAAGGGTTTCGAGAGATCAAGAGTTCGAGAAATCAAGTGTAAATTTGCTTAATTATATAGGGAAAAAAATCGGGACCGGAGACTCACTTCGAGCGATCAAGAGCTTCGAGAGATCGAAGTTCGAGCCATCAAGAGTTACCTGTATATATACTCAAGAAATTTAGCAATGTACATGATTTAGTCAAAGCTGCTTTCCACAAAAAGTGCTAACTGAAATAGAATACACAGCCAAATGTAATATATTTACAGTATATGATAAATTTCTCATATCAGAAAGTTCAAATACTTAACAGTGTGGAAGTGGTACTAACTCTTATATCTAACACCATGTAAGTTGAAACTGACCTGGTAGCTCTTTAGTTTCTCCATTACTGCTGTTGACCACAGCCTTGAGATGGAGTCCCCATTGATGTTCTGTCCATCTCTCTCGCCATGCTCTCATCAAAAGTGCTTTTACCTTACTTGCAAAACTTGATGAAACTGTTTTATTAGGAGAAGAACCAGTAGTCTCCATTCTTATGTTTTAAGATAATGTAAACATCTTATTTTTCCAGCAATCTGAAAAAAGAGCACTAAATAAAATACAACAGGTTGGGGCCAATTGCCCAAATGGGATATAATAGCCCGTTTGGGATATAATATCCCAAATGGGATATAAATTTACAGTGCCAAAAAATAAAAATTTTTATTTTGGCTATAAATTTCATAAATCTGCATCAAAAAACTTATAAAGGAATAACTTTTGGTTAACAAGTTTTTCTGTATGCCCACTGTTTAGGAGATTGATCCCTTGGAAGTTCCTGAACTTCTTAGGGATCAATCTAACAAACTGTAGGGTTGCAAAAAAACTTGCTTGCCAAAAGTTATTCCTATTAAGTATTTTGATGCAAATTTATGACATTTACAGGGCTCGACATTAACGCTTGTCTGCTTGCCCGGTACCAGTGAAAAAAAATTACGGACAAGTGAATATTGCTGGGCACTTGTCCGATTGGACAAGTGCATTTTTATGTAAAGGAGTCTCTAAATAATAATAAGAACGACTGTGAAAGATAATCGGTAGTTTCAAGACGGAAGCTGTACATAAAAACCGGACTTCGATCCCGATAGGGATCGCTACTAATTGTGTTCACATTGATTCGGGATCGAAGTTCACTAATTGCATACTACTGAAAAGGCATGGAACTTACGAACTTAACGAAGTTTTGTTCACTTGTGGACATTTATGTTGTCAGGACAGAAAGCCTCGATAAAATTTCGTTTTATGTGTTTGTTGTAAATATCAATAACATCACGAATCAATCAAGCACATGTCATGTGTAATGGACTTATTTTAGTTTTCAACTTGACAGTATTAGATCTTTATTGAAAAATTTTCGGACAAGTGAAGTTGAAGTTCGGAAAAGTGAATGTCTTGGTCACTTGTCTGAATAGACAAGTAAGAAAAAAAGTTAATGTCGAGCCCTGATTTATAGCCAAAATAAAATTTTCATTTTTTTGCACTGTAAATTTATATCCCAATTGGGATATTATACCCTAAACAGACTATCATATCCCATTTGGGCAATAGGTCCCAACCCGTACAACATGGCTAAGCAACAGATTTAGTCAAATGTTAAAGCTTTATCACAAATTCTTCCTTTTGTTCGGTTGATCTTGAAAAAAAAGATTTATAAACAGACATGGACACAAAAATGGCAGGATGAAAATTTCCTTTTTTGATTTAAATTCCAAATTTCCTATAACATCTATGAATTCAGGTGACGACTTAAACCAAAATAAGAATGCACACATTTATGATTCCATACATAATGATTACCTGAAAACATTTAGCCGAGGAGAGAGAATATGAATTAGGAAGTGATTTACGCTACATAAATTTAAAACCGAGAATGAACAATTTTTATCCGAAAATGATCATATCCAGTATTAATTTCCCCATATTTCAGTTTATCGAGAACAATCCTTTAGGCCTAGCTCAGTATATTTGGAAAGTTCACACTTGAGGTAATTGACGGCATTCTTCTTTAAAAATAAGATTTAGTTTCATTCTTAGGAGTTGCCTCTTCATGCTCTCTATCTTACATGTAGTAATACAAAAGCAGTGGTGGCTGGATCTGTGGAGTCTATGGCGGCATGTCAAACGTTGCAATATTCGATCTTTTCCAATTGTATTGTATAATTTTCCATGTGTTTTGTATAGTTTTTCATTTGTATTGTACATAATTCTTATTTGCATTCTGAAAAAAAAAAATACAATTCGTAAAAAAAGAGGAAAATTACACAATACAAAGGGAAAATTATGCAATACAAATGAAAAAATGATATTATGCAAATGAAGAATAATAATGAAATAATAATTATAATGGGAAATTATAAAATACAAATGGAAAGTTATAAAATACATATGGGAAAATTATACGATACAAATAAAAAGATATAATATACATGTAAATGAAAAATTGTGGAATGCAATTGGAAAATTATAGAATATAGAAATAAAGATTTTACAATACAAATGGAGAAGATAGAATATTGATATGCCAAAGGAGTCGGCTGCAGAATTATATATAAAAGTATTAAAGACACGGCTTTCGTAGAAAATAAACGTTAAGATGGTGCTTTTTATTTGTTACGCACGGTGTTGGTGTCACATTTGGTAACGTTATAAATGACGTTTAACGTCACGTAAACGGGACGTAAAAATTACTCATATCAATCAGCGACTTAGAAAAACTTTCATAAAGGTTTAACTGCATACTGAAGAGTTCTAACTCCATATGTTTTATGAAGTTAAAGTGATCTGCCCTTTTATGTAAGTTGGAATAAATGGAAATCTTCAGTAAATGACACAATTTGAAATAAAATGAAAGTAATATTGACCAAAAAAAACCTGAATACATTAATTGCATGTACGTAAACATGAGCGAATACTTCATTTTCTTTAAACATCTTTATATATTTTTTCTTGGTGAATGTTGTAGCTAGGTACTAGTACCCTTGTTGAAATTGAAGTATCTACACGTTTATATAAAAGATCTCAAAGTAAAAAAAAAAAGTTTTCATTAGAATTTACAGTTCCCTTAAATCCATTTCTTTGTTAAAAGTAAAAAAAAAATGAAATGAAAAGAAACTAGAAGTTTAATGAGTGAATATGTTTATTATGTTGCGTGAAAAACGTTCATGTCAAAAACAGGCAAAACTGTTCTTTACCGTATTAATTAACTTTCTTTAAATTTGTTAAAAATACAGGTTTAAAATCAATTCTAAAAAATATTTAGATGCCATTTAATATCAATTTAGTGTGTTAACACGCACAAATCGACGCATTCCAGGATATCTTCATTTTCCTCTTCGGTTAGGTGAAGAATTTCGTTTTGTATAGATACATTTTGGCATATAAACAGTACAGATGCACTTGGAACCATGGCTACTGGGCGTTTTATTAGCTTATAGTCCAAGATGAGTTTTCCTTTTTAGCAAAATATTTTCCGTGGATGACTGTTGACCCTGCAACAAACGATCCACCCCACTTGTCTGTTTTGGCTTTCCGTAGAGTTTTGCTCTTTGATGTGGCTTGTAAAAGATAAAAGTCATTGTCGTCATCCCCTGTGCACAGAACAGCAAACACTGTTCCTTCAGTAATAAAATCTGAGAGTGTTTCTGCCTCGGTATATTCTTCCTCAGAAATGTCAGGATCCTGATATGTAGATTCGCTATTCGACTTCATTTTCATTTCTTTGGAAAGTCCAACTTGAGTTAAATTTTCACACTTTTCCCCTTCTAGACAATTGTCGCAGTAACACGACATATTACGTTATATGATTTTCCCGTCTTTAGATGTTTCTGCTCGATGTACGGCTCGAATTCCTTTAATTGGCTGAAAGTTCTCTTCAAACCTCGGGATTTCTTCAATATATTGAAATATTCTTCTTTTGCAGGCATGAGATCGCGGTGTCCTGAGATTAGCCTCTGCAAAATTAAATAAATCAAGCGCAGATCTTATTTGAGCTTTCCCGCGGATAACGGCCATATCAGCTTGGTTCTTAAGCAAACCTCCCGCTGCATCCTGTGGTCCTTTACCATGGCTACTTTCAAAATAATTTCGTATCATTTTCTGATATCCAAGCTCGTCAACGGAATGAACGAGATTTCCCAAACAGTTCCTGCTTTTATATTGGCTTTGACATCCGTCACAAAACTCATGCATTGTAGAGAGCGGGTAATTGATGGACTGCAAATATTCAGATATCAATTTCCGAACACATTTAACAAAATGATGGTCGTGCTTTTCGTCAGGAGAAATAAGAAAAAATGTTCACAAATAATATAAGGGTCATCGGGGGTGCTCGATACACCGTCAACTTCTAAAATAGCATGTCTATAAATCAGTGAAATGTGAATGGAAACCTCAGTTCGTTGAAAATAGTTTGACTGGATTTCAACCTGCTCACTACATCGGTAGTTTTCCGAGAAATCATGAACTGTTAAACATTCGTTTTCCGGTAAGTTTTCGGCAAGATTTTTCAGCTGATCCGTTTGCCATTTGGCCCTGAAATGATGACCTGGGAAAAACCCCAACACCTTCTTAAAATACTTTATCATCTCACCGGACTTTGTTATTTTGTCTACCAATGTCAGTTTCTTCTTGGTACCATTTTTTGTTTTGATGTCAACATACTCGAATTTTTTCCAGTTTACATCTGGCGAATCGTCAGACATATCTAATTCAGCGTCACAAAATTTCAGCAAATGAACACCGCATTTTTCACAGTTTCTTTCTAAACAGTCTTTCAAATGTAAATTTCCATCCTCCGTATGGCACATCGTATCTTCACATAATTCCGAAATTGTTCTGTAAACCTTAAATGTGTTTTCGTCCAGCAACCCATCGTTTGCCAACTGATTTCTACGTACCTTGAAAGCGTTGAACAAAAACTTGCTCTCTAGATGATACCTGCAGCAGCATGTTGTTCTATCCTTTTTCCTTGCAGATCGGACAAAATATGGCTTACATTTTTCAAATGTTCTCTGTGAAATCTTAATTTCAGGATACTGTTGGTTAAAAGACATGAACAGTTCACTCTTTGTTTTTTCTAGAATTTGAATAGCATGGCTACAGTAAGTTTTTGGACCTATTCGGACACGCTTGACATCAGTTTTATTTCCAGTGTGCCGCGAATTTTCGGGTAGACACCAAAAATCATATACTGTTTTTTGAACTTCTTCAGTTAGTTTATCTGACCTTGTTTTCCTTTTTGTAAACTCAAAGGATGATTGTTCTGAATGCAGAACTCGTTGTCGGATTCGAACACCCTTTGAGATCCTTCTAACTGGCATTCCGAGTTTTCTCGCAAGGTCAACTTTGGCCCTAGATTTTTGAACTAATGGTCCTGATACAGATGCAGCTAGAATGTCGACGACTTCCCGCGACTTATCACTTCTCTTAAATTTCACCGAATTCAAGAAAGATTTCACATCCTGTATAACCGATTCATTCATTTCCAATTCTTTGCGTTCTTTCGGTGATGGTACAACCTTTCTACGCTGT